TTGCCTCCACATCTTGGCCATTGTAAATAGTGCTGTAGTGAATATATTTATGCACATGTCCCTTTGAGGTAGTGTTTTGGGTTTCTTTGGATAAATACTCAGAAGTGGGATCCCTAGGTCCACCTTGGCTGTTGTTGTAGCTCTCTTGCCTGCAAAGTTTCTGTGGAGAAATCAGCTTATAGTCTTATAAGACCTCCCTTGTAGGTTACTAACTGCTTTTGTCTTGCTGCTTTTAAGAATCTCCCTTTGTCTTTAACCTTTGCCATTTTAATTATGATGTGTCTTGGTGTGGGTTCATTCAGTTCAGCTTGTTGGGACTCTCTGTGCTTATTTGTCTATTTCTTTCACCAGGTTAAGGAAGTTTTCCATCATTTTTTTATATTAGTTTTTCAATTCCTTGGTCTTTGTCTTGTCCTTCTTGTACCCCTATACTGTGAAAGTTGTGATGCTTGATGTTGTCTCAATGGCCCCTTAAACTATCCTCATTTTTATATTCCTTTTTTTCTATTTGATGTTTTGGTTTGCTGTTCTGGTTGGGTATCTCCTAATCTTGGTAAACTGGCTTTATGTGGTATCTATTTTGTGGGGCCCAGTGGCACAGCCTTCATGGTTACTTGAGCCAGCTGTGTTCCCTTTGTGGGTTGTGTGTGCCCTCCTGTTGTAGTTAAACTTTGGTTCCTATTAGAATGTCAGTACGAGGGATTGACCCTCAGACTAATTGATTGTGGTGAATGACTGTGACAACACCAGAGGAGCTGTTGTGCAGAGCAGGATTCACTTTAGCAGGGCTCTGGTGCCTTTCAAGTCTTCCCTTTGGTGTCAGTTGTAGAGGTGGTTGGATGGTGCTCTGGAGTGGCCTGAAGCTGACCATTGGGTGTATTCATTCTGGAGTCTCTTGGAAAAGACTGGTGCAGGCGAAGAACAGCTGCTACCTGTTTCCTGCCTGGGGTCAGTTGGTGTGAGCTACGAAGTGATCTGCAGATGGTTGCTACTTGTGCTGGTCTTGGGGGTGCCTGGGAGAGGCCAAGTGGTGAACTAAAGCTGGCTTCCACTAGTGCTGGGCTTGGGGCTGCTCAGCATGAGGAACAGAGCATGCCAAGGCCAGATGCTGTTTGTTTGGGGTTTGTGAACCCTCGAGTGATTTTAGGAAATTCCACAGCATGAGCCAAGACAGGCCATTTGTATAGAATATCCACTGAAAACAGCTTGGGTAGGCCTGCAAGTTGAGTGGCGCAGGGTCTCAGGGAATCGCCAGGATGGGGTAAATGGTATTAGCTGGGTTAATGGAGACTCACAATATCTGTTCAGGCTGTGGCAGGGGGAGGGCTCAACCAAGGAACAATGGCTTCTGCCAGCACTTATATATGGGAGACAGCTGCCCCTCCAGCCCTTGCCCTAAAGCCAGACAATTTAGTTCCTCCCCATATATCCCTGGTGCCTTTTGAGCTGCTGCCCTAGTGCTGGAGCTCAGAGCGAGTGAATCCACCAGTGAGTAAGTCCATGTGCAGGCCTTTAAGAGGAGGGTCTGGGATCCAGCCACAACTTCATCTCACTCAGTCACAATCTCTGCTGGTTTTCACAGCCAGAAGTTATGGGGACTTCTCTTCCAAGCACTGGAACCCTGGGCTGGGGAACCTGGTGTGGGCCTGGAACCCCTCACTCTTCAAGGGGGACCTTCACAGCTGAGATATTTCTCTTGATTTTTAACCACTACATGTGGGTGTGAGACCAGCACCTTCTGCATCTCCACTCCTCCTAAGTAGTCTTGAGGTGGCTTTTTCTGCATATCCTTAGTTACAGAACTTCTGTTCAGCTAGGCTTCAGGTAATTCTCAAGATGGTATTTCTGTAGTTTAATTGTAATTGTGATGTGGTCCTGGGATGAGGTGAGCATAGTGCTTACCTACTTTGCCATCTTGGCTAGAAAGCTGCTTTCCTTGACTAGAAAGTCTCTTTTATAAGAACAGACTTGGGAAGAATTATTCATAAAATAAGCCTTATTAAGTCAGTAAATTGAGTAAACTGGGAAAAAATATTATTTGGCAAATTGCCCCTCAGGCAAATTCTCAAATGAGGCATTGAAGGTTGAACTTGTCTGGGAGGGTCCTCAAAGGTGCCCTGGTAGGAGGAAGAAATTGGCTCAAGCCAAGATAAGCTTGTGCTCCTCAACTACACATTTCTCACTTATTCTCATGCCAGTCCAACCCAGCATAGGGGTTTTGAGGGACATCAGGTTGAGCAAGGAAAAGGATATAACCACTAGATGGCACTAGCACACACAAGGTTTATTGGGCAACACTGGTATGTCTGCAGGGGATGTCCCTCAGAACAAACACCTCCAAGAAGTAATGGCATGGGGATCACTACTCAGGAGAGAAAGGCAAGGGAACTCCCAGGGGAGGAGAGGATTAGAGAGGAGGTTTATGTATTTATGTGATGCCACTCAGCAGCCCATTGTAGGAGGTCTCTGGGTTAGACAGCTCTGAAGGGCAGTCATGGCTTAGGATGTTTATAGCCACAAAACGTATCCTTTTTATTGCTATCAGATGTTGGGTGCAGCTTCACAGGCAAGCTCAAAAATGGCTAAAATATGCTTGTTTGGGCTACGCTTAAAACAAATGGATGTGTAAAAAATTGAGTTTAGTTCTTTTAAGCTTTTGAACTAATGGATCCCAGCATGCTGTGAAGAAATAAATAACCTAGGAGCTAATACCCAGGCACCATCATTGGATCATGAATGTAACACCCCGATACCACCATCTTTAGTTTCTGTATATGGCCAAAGTTGGGAACCATGTGAAATAGAACATACACTGCCTCCACTCCCCACCCCCAATCCATCTCCAGCCTCAGATGAACAGGAAATAATACCCATAAAAAGCCCCAGGCATGGGTACACCTCTCTTATGTCTAAGAGAATGAGGTCCCCAAGCAGGCAGGGGTTGTGGCCCAGTCACCCTTTGCCCCACATCTGGTCTAACACTAACTCCACATGGCCTCTCCTCCCCCTCCCTATGCAGCTGGTGGCCCTGCCTTGGTGCCCTTCACTGTCAACTTCACCATCACCAACCTGCGCCACACGGACAACATGTGGCCTGGCTCTGCGAAGTTCAATTTCATAGAGTCAGTTGTACAACGCCTGGTGAGGGCCCCTGGCTACCCACTTCTCTTTTCCCTTCCTCCCCACCCTCTTTCAGTCTCCTTGCTACACTTTTGGAGGATATGGAGGGTTGGGGAGGCAGAAAGTTCCAGGTTTAAAACTTGGAACTGCCACAGACAAGTGATGTGACTTAGGAGTAGTGATTTGCCATTTACTCATCTGTAAAACCAAGTCAATAAAAGCACCTATCCCAAAGAGTCCTTTTGAGAATTAAAAATGTGGTGTGAGATGATTAGGGAGTTGTTGTTTTATTTTAAGATATTGTGGTTTTTTAAGATTTATTTTTTAAGATTTTTATTAAAATATAGCTAACATACAATATTATATTAGTTTCAGGGGTACACCACAGTTGCTCAACATTTATATACCTAAAGAAGTGATCATCATAAGTCCAGCAACCATCTGATTCCATGCAACATTATCACATTATTACATCCCTATGACTTATTTGTTTTATACCTGGAAAGGTGGACCTCTTATTCCTCTTCACCTTCCCCTCTTTTCTAAATTTTCAGTTACAGTTGACATTCAATATTATTTTATATTAGCTTCAGGTGTACAGCGTAGTGGTTAGACATTTATAAATTTTATATTAGTTTTACATTTATTTTTTTATCCACCACTCTCTCCTCCTCAGCTCAGGCCCCTGTTCACCAACAGCAGCATTGGTTCACTGTACACTGGCTGCAGACTGACCACACTGAGGTGAGACTCCGTTTTGTCTTCCCATAAGAGGTGTAGTAAGGTATGGGCTGGTTGGGCCAGCCGGGGCCTGAACTAGGGTCAAGGAAGTGAGGTGCCTAGGACACAGCATTTAAGGAGGCACCAATCCTCAGGTGTTAACGCTATACTTGAACAACCCTGAGAGGTTCCATGTCCTTAAATATTACATCTGGGCACCTTGCTTGCCTCACCCTATTCCCAGGCCTGGTGCTAGTGCTGTGCACTGCCCTCTCTGGATCATCCTAAATCCAATCAGACAGTCAGACTTACAAGATCTGAATGGGCCATACATGACTACAGTTTTACTTAGAAGAATGTGGACAGGAAACAGCATGCCAGCCAGGCAGTGCTGGGAATTTTGTTTTTGCAAGGATGCACTTGATATTCATTCCAAGGGCTATTCTTTTGGCATTCCAGGTGACCGTCCATGTGCAAAGAAATGAAACCTCAATGGATAGGTGCCAGATCCACCCTGGCTTAGATATACCATGTCCCAAAGAGGAACCAATATCCTTGTAACAGTCCTGCCCACTTAACAGGGTCACCCCACACCCAAGGAAGCTCAAAGCTATAACTTCCTACTGGGTATTGATGTTCGTTTAAGGTCCTCACAGAAAAGATGCAGGTCATTTTCACCACAGGCAGCATCACCAGGCAATGCAAAGGGCATTGTACCTTGATCAAGTTTCTAGGAGACCTGAGCTAGAAGCAGCTTAACTCTAGGTTACTTCCATCCTGCTGAGGTGCAGGCATGCTTCTCCCCAGTAATGCCCTCTGGCAGTGCAACCTGCTGGATCTCCCAGGTTATCCCTTCAGGACTCGTTTTTCCTGCTGCTCCAGAGAGATAGTAATGAAAGAGTCAGGTGGGCAGTGGGTGGGGTCTCTGCTATGCAGTATCTCGGGCTCAGATGCTCAGGTCTAAAAATTGGGTTGCACTAGCTTTCCGAGAGCTGATAAGTCTCTGTTTAGAGCTGCTGTCCAGTTTCACTAGGGACTGTGTGGGTGCTCTGTAAACATTTAATTTTACAATTAATTAATTAGCACTTAATAATGTACCTATCAGGAGGGCTAGTTATTTTATATCAGTCATTTCTGAATTCTACCACATTCTGGCAAGGTGGTTACAGCATTCTCCAACACTGCAAAGATGAGAGAAATGAGTCAGAGAAGCTTCTGTGGATTATATAACAAGTGACAGAGCTAAGGTTGAACTGATAGTTGTCTGACATCCACTCTGGTCCTTTGTGGCTCAAAGACTCCCCTCCACTTGTGAGAGGCTCGTGCCTGGATCAGGAGAGCAGATAAGTGAGCATCAACATAGAAGTGGGCAGAGAAAATGATGTCCTATCAGGATGTCTCTGTCCTGTCGCCATATCCATGTCCTTCTCTCTCCAGGCCTGAAAAGGGCGGAGCAGCCACTGGAGTTGACACCATCTGTACCCACCATCCTGACCCTGCAGGCCTCATGCTGGACAGGGAGCGGCTCTACTGGGAGCTGAGCCAACAGACCCACAGTGTCACCTGGCTCGGTCCTTACATCCTGGACAGGGATCGTCTCTATGTCAATGGTGAGCATCTGGTGGTGACAGTGGTCTTCTCCTGCACCCCAGGTGGACACTTCCATTGATGCTCTGAGCTCTGGCCAGAGGATACAACTATGTATGCTTCCATATTTCTCTCTCCTCACTTTTCTTTCCTTGTGAGGTCCCCCTCGCTCACCATGTGTGTATCTATCACACACAGAGAGGCAGAAAGTCAGAGAAAGGTTATAAGGGGCACAACCCACTATCTGGAAGTGACACAACATCTTGATGGCTTCTACTTTTCCACCAATGTTCCAACTCTTTCATCTCTTCCTTAAGCCTCTCAAATATCCCACCTGACTCTTACTTGCTCTCTGCAGGTTATACCAGACCAGCCTTGACCTCCATCTCCAGTGGTAAGAGTTCAAACTCTAGACAGCCCCATGGCCTCACAATGCTTTCTGGGGGCAGCTGATCCCTTCTCCCTGTATCCAGGGCCTCAAGGGTGGGAAGAAAGCCTTAGGGCCCTGGTTACACCCCTCTCCCCCACCCAACTTCTGTAACTCAGGCTGGACATCAAGGCCCCCTGTCTCTGGCATCTCCAAGGTGAGACTGCATCATTCTAATTTTTTATGCTTTCTCCTCAGTTTTTGTGACTTCCACACCCTCCTTGGGAACCTCAGCAGCTTCAGTCTCCTTCTCCAGCTCTACAGGTAAGAGATTTCTCTCCATGAGCACTTCCTTCCCCGCTACATGCCTCTGTGCTTTGCAGTGAGAAGGCAAGAGAATATGCACAGGCGGGTCAAGGCAAGGGGACGGTATGGAAAGGATAATTTGGGTGGGAGGTGGGGGGAACGCCCTCATCACAAACCAGTCCAACCCATTCCTTTATTTGGAGAGCTCTGTGACTCCAGGTTTTCAATCCCAGACTGAAGGAGTGGCTCCTTTAAATTCACTCTTTGCTTTTTGTTAAAGTTTTGTATCAGTTAACTTTACTGGATTGAAACAATCAGTTCTTACTTCTCATGAGTATGAAGTCAACACTGCAGTTTTTCTGGTCTGCACTAGGCTTCCTCGTGTGTCTGCAGCCACCTGCAGGTTAGCAAGGTGACTCTGCTTCTGGGGGATGCCTGACTGATGGGTGGGGTGACCCAGTTGTCCCTCATGTGGCCTCTCATCATCCAACAGGCTAGCTCCGGCTAGTTCATACAGTGGTCCTAAAGTTCCTGGCAGCAAGAGAGGGCAAGCCTCAGTGCACAAGTGCCTTTCAACTGCTGGCATCACACCTTTCTCATCCCATTGGCCAAAGCCAGTCAAGGCCAAGCCAAAGTCGAGAGCTTGAGAAATAGCCTTCTGTTTCTTGGTGGAAGGGCTGCAACACCACATTGCAAGGGTATAGATGCAGGGAGGTGAAGAACTGCTGGCCATTTTTAATAATCTTCCCCAAGTAACCTGCCAGGAACCAACCTTTGACCATGCTGGCCTTATGGGACCTGAAGTGTGGGTGTCCATTAGTGAGATCACATCCAGTGGTACATTCTGGAACAATTTCCAAAGTTTCACCTTCTGCTAGAATGGCATGGAAATAATCAAGGGTACATCCAGGACTAATCCCCAAAGGGCAGAGACTAAAGGGCTCAGCAGATATGAGTAATAACAACAACAGTGGCAATGAAGACATGACAGCAGCATTCAATGATTGTTTGTCACCTGACGGGGACCCTGCTTTACATACATGATCTTTAACCCCTGTGGGTAGGCACTGCTATTTCTCCATTTAAAAGAGGCATACACTGGTTCTTGGATGCTCAGTGTTTTTCTGAGGTCACACAGCCAGCAGACTTAGGACTCAACCCTAAGTCATTCAAACTCTAGAACCTGAGTTTCTGCACTAAAATAGCTGTGTGGCCTTGGGGAAGTGACTTAGCCTCTCTGAAACTTACATTTATTCTCTGTCAGTTGGACACACCTCCCGGGTGTGTGTGAGGATTACATGAGATACGGGATGAAAAGTGCTTGCACAGAGTAAGCTCTTACCAAACATCAGCTTTTATTATTGCTGGTGTTTTTATTGTCATTATTATCATTAATATTTGTGTCTTTCAAAATAAAGTTTCCCATTCTGGGATGAGACATTCTGAGCTCTTGCACTGGATGTGAATACCAGACTCCCCCTGCCTCCACCCCTGACCACTAAATCTAGCTGGAAAGTAACTTGGGGCATGACTTCTCTCTCACCCTCATTGCAGTCACTGGCCCTGCCCTGGTGCCATTTACCCTTAACTTCACCATCATCAACCTGCACTACATGAATGACATGCAGCCTCTGGGCTCCATGAAGTTCAACAAAATAGAGAAGATTCTTCAGCACCTGGTGAGAGTCCCGCCCACTGCATTCCTGCACGGCTCACTGCTGCCAGCCCTGCCACCTCTCCAGGCCCCATTCATCTCTCCCAGCCTCCCAACTGGTGCCGGCCCTGCCTACCCAGTCCCAGCCCTGCCTCTGTCCTTCCCTCTCAGTCCCTCTCCTTATCTTCCTTTCCTTCTTCAACAGCTCGAACCCTTGTTCAGGAACACCAGTGTCAGCTCCCTCTACTCCAGCTGCAGACTGACTTCGCTCAGGTAAGACCAGCAGAGATGCCCTGAAGGTTTCATATCCACAGTCCCCTAGGGTTGGTCCTCCCTTTGGCCTTTCCAGCACTTCCCAGATCGCCACCCAAAACGGCCACTATCCCGGAGGTTTCTGGTCCCTGGTTCCTGTTCTGGACCTTCCCATCCTCCCGAGCAATATTAAATAGGAACAAAATGGTAAAACATAACGTGGAAGCATGTATCAAATTCCTTCATACAGGATGCATCCCTGATCCTTCACAAAGAGTATACCCACAGCCTACCGTGCCCACAACCCACACTGCATATACTTCTTTTTTTAACTAAATTTATTGTGGTGACATTGGTTAATGACATATAAGTTTCAGGTGTACAATTCTATAACACATCATCTGTACATTGCATTGTGTGCTCACCACCCAAAGTCTGGTCTCCTTCTGTCACCATATATTTGACCCCCTTTGCCCTCGTCAACCTCCCCCCAACCCCATCTCCTCTGGTAAACACCATACTGTTGTCTGTGTCTACAAGTTTGGTGGTTTTGTTTGTTCTTTGTTGCTTTCTGTTTTATATCCTCCAAACAAATGAAATCATGATTCTTGTTCTTTTCCATCTGAATTATTTTGCTTAGCATAGATACTCTTTGCTTAGATACTCTCAAGATCCATCCATGTTGTCGCAAATGGCAGTATTTCATCTTTTCTTATGGCTGAGTAGTGTTCCATATGTACCACATCTTCTTTATCCAGTCACACATCTAACGCTTTGGTTGTTTCCATGTCTTGGCCACCATGAACAATGCTGCAATAGACATAGGGCTACATATACTTTTATGGATAAATGTTTTCAAATTTTGGGGGTAGATACCCAGAAAAGGGATTGCTGGGTTGTATGGTAATTCTATTAATTTTTTGAGGAAACTCCATACTGTTTTCCATAGTGGCTGCACCAGTTTACATTCCCACCAGCAGTGTATGAGGGTTCCTTTTCCTCCACAACCTCTCCAACACTTGTTATTATTTGTCTTGTTGATGATAGCCATTCTAACAGGTGTGAGGCTGTATCTCATTGTGGTTTTGATTTGCATTTCCCTAATAGCTAGTGAAGTTGAACATCTTTACATATATCTGTTGGCCATTTATATGTCTTCTTAGGAGAAGTGCCTGTTTAGTTCCTCTGCTCATATTTTTAATTACATTGCTTGTTTTTTGTTGTTGAGTTCTATGAATTCTATGTACATATTGGATACTAGCCCCTTGTCAGAGGGGTTGTTTGCAAATATCTTCTCCCATTTGGTTGGTTGCCCTTTTGTTTTGTTTTGGTTTCTTTTGCTGTGCAAAAGCTTTTTAGTTGCATATAGTCCCATTCATTTATTTTTTTAATAATTTATTTCTTTTTCAATTACAGTTGACTTACAATATTATATTAGTTTCAGGTGTACAACACAGTGATTAGACATTTTTATACTTACAAAGTGATCACTCCAATAAATCTAGTACCCATTTGACACCATTATTATTACAATATTATTGACTATAATCCTTGTGCTATGCCCTACATCCCCATGACTACTGTGTAACAACCAATTTGTACTTCTTAATCCATTCCCCTTTTTCACCCACCCTCAACCCCCATCTGGCAACCATCAGTTTGTTTTCTGTATCTATGAGTTTGTTTCTGTTTTGTTTGTTCATTTATTTTGTTCTTCAGGTTCCACATATAAGTGAGATCATATGACATTTGTCTTTCTCTGTATGATTTACTCCATTCAGCACAGTATCCTCCAGTTCCATCCATGTTGTTGCAGATGGCAATATTTCGTTTTTCATGTCTGAGTAATATTCCATTGTATATAAGTACCACCTCTTCTTTATCCATTCATCCATTGATAGACACCTAGGCTGCCTCCACATCTCCGCCCTTGTAAACAATGCTGCCATGAATATATGGATGCTTATGTTCTCTTGAAGTAGCCTTTGGGTTTCTTCAGATAAATACTCAGAAGTGGGATCACTGGGTCCTTCTTTGTCTCTTGTTATAGCCTTTTTTAAAAAGTCTATTTAGTCTGGTGGCGGGCCAAGGGGGCTCCCCACGCCAAACGTGCCCCGCGTCAGACGGAGGATTCTTGTGCAGCAGCCGTTACCCTTGGGTCCCCCGTCATGTCTCCGCGCAGTAGGCGGAGACTGCGAGCTGAGGGTTGGGGCGCTTTCCCGCGGGATAGAGGGCTACCCAGAGCTGGAATGAGCGCACCAGTGGAGGAGGTAAAGGAAGGAGGCTGCTGGAAGCTTTCCCGGGATTTCCCCGCCTGCCTAACCGCGCTAGCTTCAGGTTGGGGACTCTAGGTCGGGGACAGTCCCGGAGCCAGCTAAAAGTTCTCAGCCCTGCTACGGCATACACGTTTCTCTGAACGGCACATTCTCTCCACCCTCAAAGCTTATCCCTCTGCGTTCCCTTTCTGCACCTCACGCACACGATCAATTGCAAACAAACCCTGACTGCAGTTTGCAAAGTGGGCTGTGAGCCTCGCAGATCCTGGGTTTTGACGCGTCTTTATTAGGGGTGGGGAGATTGCTCGTTCCATTCTTCACTAAAAAATTAAACGCCACAAAGCAGTACCCCGACCCATTAAAATTTACCTGGGAGGCAGCGGCAGCAGGTGGACTCCGAAGACAGGTACTGAGACTCGGCAGAAGATGAGGAGCTGCACCGGGAGCCGGAGTCGTAGTCTCCAGGGAAAGCCTGAAACATTTCCCAGGGCACAGGGGGCGCCTGTGACCATGCTGAGGTCGCCGGGAAGCCAAGGCTATGGCCGGGTGGGGGAAGAAATGTGTGAGTCCGGTGTGAGCCGACCGCGTCCCCAAAGTGCGCTTTGAAACTCGATTACCAAACGAAGTGCGCTTTTGCTCCCCTAAAGGCGGAAAGCACTGTGCTGCTGTACAGAATCGGCTTCAGGAGCGGTCTCCTCCACACGTCCGGCGGGTCCCACGGTTGGGAAGGCGGGGGGAGGGAAGTAATAAAGAAGGCGAAAAAAGTAAGTCGGTCCTCCAAAGTGAAATGTAGAATTATCTAGAAGAATCCTTCCAAAAAGTTTCTCTCCGGAAACAAACAATAAACCGAATTTCAGTCTGCAAGAACCACAACAACAAAGTCCCCAAGTCCCCGCTCCGCATGTCCCTGCGGAGGACGTAGCTCTCAGTCTTAGGAACGAAGCCCGACACCGCCAGCCTGCATTTATATAGTATATGCCCGGACCCGACCCCTGCTGACGTCACCCGTCTCGGGCTACACAAACTTCCCCAGATCTCCGGCCCTGTTGAACCAAGCCTCGTGCTGCCCAGCAAGAGGTCTGCCCTAGCTTGGATCTGGTCACCTGTACCATCTTTGCGGCCCCAAAGGGTATCGGTGGCTGCGTTCAGGAGCAGTCGGCTGGGGGGAACCCGGCCCCGCCTCCCCTAGTTCCTGTGACTCAATTAGCCATATGAGGAGCTCGGCCGCGGAGGCAGAGTGTTTGGTAATCTAGCAACTAAATCAGAGGGAACCCCTTGCTCGCTCGCGCTTTCACCCTCGCGTGCTTGCGGAATCCGCCCGCGCTTGTGCGGTGCCGCGCCGCTCTGGGAGCAGGCATTAATAGGCTCTTAAACTAGCCCAGAGAAGTCCCCAGGTGGGGGAGACCCCAGCTAGCGGACCCCCCTTCCCTCTGGCAGCCCCTCCCAATTCTCCCAGTGGTGCAGCGCCTTGACTCAAGAGAAAGGTTAGATCTCCAAAAGGAGGCCCTGGCTAGTGTGCTGTAGTCACCTAGGTGCGGAAACGGAATCCCCAGCCTGGTGGGAGGGGCTGGGATACTCCAGGTGAAAGTGGAGGTGGGGTGAAGTCCTGTGGCTCAGCGCAGCTTCTGCCCTGAATTGCTGTGCGAGCTTGGGAAATGTTTTCCCTCTCTGAGCCTCAGCTTCAGTTTTTCCAGCTAAACAAAGGATGTGTGTCTTGGACCCTACTGGCCCCCCAGGTTCAGCGTTTGGAAGGTATGCGAGTTTGGAGGGGATGGGGAATAAAAATAAAAAATAAATAAGATAAATAATGTCTGTTTACTCTGGTATAAGTATTGTTACTCCAGCTTTTTTGTCTATGTTTCCATTTTCATGAAATATCTTTTTCCATCCCTGTACTTTGAGTCTGTGTGTGCCTTTCAATCTGAAGTGAGTCTCTTGTAGGCAGTATATGTAAGGGTCTTGTTTTCTTTATCCATTCAGCCACCCTAGCATTTGATCCATTTACATTTAAAATAATTGTTGAAAGGTTTTGGGAAGGATAGGTACTAAATCTTATTTTGATTTTTGGTAGAATTCACTAATGAAGCCATCTAGTCCTGGACTTTTACTTTTTGGAAGGTTTTTGATGATTGTTTCGATTTCCTTACTGTTGATTAGCCTATTCAGATTGTCCAGTGTGTGTGTGTGTGTGTGTGTGTGTGTGTGTGTGTGTGAGAGAGAGAGAGAGAGAGAGAGAGAGAGAGATTCAGTCTAGGAAGATTACAGATTACTAAGAACTTGTCCATTTCTTCTAGGTTATTGAATTTGGTGGCATATAATCTTTGATAGTATTCTTGTACAAGACTTTGTATTTCTGTGATTCTATTGTAGCTTTTCTTTCATTTCTGATTTTGTTTATTTGTGCCTTTTCTTTTTTTTCTTTACTNCCAGCCTCGGGAGAACTGGGACAAATACCCATAAAACCCTAGACTTAGGCACCTCCTCTCTGGCATCTTCATGATGATGAGGTTCCCAACCCAAGCACTTGGGGTGTTTTCTCCCCAGCTTATGTGATGACATTGTCTATATCGATGGTGAGAGGCTGTGTTGGGGTGTGAGTCCCCTCGTCCCCACTGACTGGGCTCTGCTGCAGCAGGTTCCTCGCACAAGTTCAAACTCTCTTGGGGCCTCACAGTTTGGAGTGCTTTGAGCAAGGATTTTGCCTCTGGGACGGGAGAGTGGAATTTGTTTTTTCCGCATGAGCACTCTGTCTTCCTTTTCATAATCCCAGCTGCGATGGTTCAGCTACCATCCCTCTAATGGCTGAGTTGCCTCTTCCTTGAAGATCTCTCCCTCCCCCCTTCCTCACCATCTTTCCCTCTCTTTACAGGTGACACCCATCCCACCTCAGACACCACCCCCAACAGTATTTCATACTCTTGTGTGCCTGTGACCCCCGCCCTAAAAATAGGAACTGTTTAACCTGACAACCCTTCCCTCCTGTTCTCCCCCATTTGAATGAGGAGGAGTCCAGAAAGCATGCACAAAAATTTGGGCTATATTGGAGGTAAAAGGAGTCACCTCTCCTCTCCACTCCCCACATAACTGACAATGATACCCTGACTCCAGGATAAATGGTGCATAGAGTAAGGCATGTGTGTGTTATAACTAGAACCATTACTGCCACTATTCCCTTAAGGATACAGTACACTTTAGATTTCATTCCTGGTTTTTCATTCCTCCTCAGTTCCTGTGACTTCCACATACTTTTCTTCTCTAGCTCCATCTCCCTCCCCCCCATCAGGCCCACAGGTAGGAGGGCTCTTAAGGGCACCAAATCATTTCTACAAAATCACTCATACCAGATCGCTTCTCTCATTGTTCACTCACCTTCCCTGAGGGAACTCATTTGTTTCTATGGATTTCAGGGACCGTCTAACTGCTCAGGGTCCAGCTGCTCAGAATCCAAATCCTGAGGCCAGCCCACAACACAGAACAGCTCCAGAGCCTTGGTCCACCCACCTCCTGGACATCACCCAACTCCTTGGTCTCTGACCCTGAAGTCATTATCTTTTCCAAAACTTACTCTTTCTCCTCATCACCAAAGGCAGGGACATAGGCACCAAACTTGACCCACCCTATGGCTCACCTCCTACCTCCATCCATCACCAAATCATCTCCTCTCCCTACAGAATATCTCATGAGTCCTTTTCTCTGCATTTGTATCACTCAGCTTTTATTCAGGCTACTGGCATCTTTTGCTGGGACAAGTGCAGTAGCTTCCACTCTGGCCTTCCTTTAGTCTTTCACACAGAAACTGCAGCAGCCCTCCCAATGTACCTCTGTCCACATAATTCCTGTCTTGGGTGACCACCTGCTCTACAAATCACATCCAAACCCCTGTGCTTTGTAGTCACTGCCTCCCCTTTATGAGCTCATAAGATCCCTCCAGTCTCATGTCTACACTTCCCCATGGCCAGAATGAAAGGACTTCAAATTCCTTGAGTGCAACTGCTCTGTCCTGCCGGGCCTTTACCCAGGCTGTTCCTTCTGCTTGAGTGCTCTTCCCACTAGCTCAGCTCCTGTCACCTAACTCTTACTCATACTTTTGGTCACACCTGAAATGATGCTTCCTCTGGGAATCTTTTCCCAGTGACTTGTTGGGTGNTTAATATTCTCTTTATTCAGTATTAGATTATAATTTGAAGCAAATCTATGACATCAAAGGTTTTAAAAATTAACACAAAATTTAAGAAAGATTGCATTTTCCACACTTCTCTTTAATCATCTCTAAAATCCCTCCCTGGTGCCAGGAAGATACTGATTTCCTGGAGCATTTCCCCCTAACATTCTTTAGGAATTCCTAAAGTTCTGTATAAAGTGGCCTTTCTTTCTTTTATTCCACAGGAATTTCTCACTTTCTCAAATAGGTTCTCAATCCCTTGCTTATTCTCTTCTTGTTCTAGTAACACTATGATGCAAATGCTATGCTTGATGTTGTCCCAGAGGTCCCTTAAACTAGATTTTTTTTTCTTTTTGTTGTTTAGTACCATGTTGTTTAATCTCTGCATATTTGTGGTTTTCTCTCACTTCCGTTTTGCGTTTGATTTCCAGTTTCATAGCATTGTGGTCAGTGAATATGTTTGATATAATTTCAACCTTCTTAAATTTGTGGAGGCTAGTTTTGTGTCCCAACACATGGTATATCCTTGAGAATGTTCCATGTGCACTATACAAGAATGTATAAGCAGGTTTTCTGCAATAAAGGCTTTGTAAATATCAATTATGTCCATTTGATCTAATGTGCCATTTAAGGCTGATATTTCCTTATTGATTTTCTGTTTGGATGATCTATCCAGTGATGTTAATGGGGTATTTAGGTCTCCAACTATAATTGTGTTTTTATCAGTTTCTCCCTTTATTTCTGTTAGTAGTTATGTTATATATTTTGGTGTTCCCAGTTTGGTGGCATAATATTGATAAGTGTTATGTCTTCTTGATGTGTTGTTTCCTTTATTATTATTAAAATGTCTGTCTCTGTCTCTTGTTACTTTTTTTATTTTGAAATCGATTTTGTCTGATGTAAGTACAGCTACACGCGCTTTTCTTTGAATGCCATTTACTTGGAGGATCATTTTCCACTCTTTCACTTTGAGTCCATATTTGTCCTTGCAGTTGAGATGTGTCTCTTGGAGGTAGCATATAGCTAGGTTTCGTTTTTTGATCCATCCCGCTTCTCTGTTGGTGAGTTCAGTACATTTACATTTAGGGTAATTATTGATATATGAGGATTTCTATACCTATTTCTATACCCATTGTAACTTTTGTTTCTGGTATCTTGGTGTCTCCATTTTGTTTCTTTTCTCTTGTGTTTCTGTCTGTTATTTTATTTTGGTGGAATTCTATGATTTTATCCCCCTCTGTTTCCTCTTTTTTTTTTTTATGTTATGTGTCTCAGTTCTAGTTTCTTTTTGTTGTTGTTACCATTAGGTTTATGGAAAACAAAGTTTCATATATACAGTACTCTTTTTCCTTCAGATTGCATATTATTTCCATTCTCCTTTGCAAGTTAACTTCTTTTTCCCCCCTCACTTTTTTTTTGTTGTCGCAAATTATCTTTTTTTATGCTATGAGTTCATTTCCAAATTGCAGTAGCTATTGTCTTCTTTTTAAAAAATGTTTACCTCCTTTAACCTTTAATGTTATATTTAAGTGTCTAATACACTAGTCTGACAAGGGTTGCAGTTTTCTATTCCTGTCTGTCTATTAGTCATCTTACTCATAATTTTTGTATCCTTTTGTGTTTTTTGTTTCAGGCGGAAGGGCACCCATCAGTATTTCTTGTAATGCAGGTCTTTTGGTGGTAAATTCCCTCAGCTTCTGTATACCTGGAAAGTTCTTTATTTCTACTTCATATCAAAAGGTTAATTTTGGTGGATATATTTTTCTTGGCTGGTAATTTCTCTCTTTCAATAATTTGAATATTTGATTCTACTCTCTTCTAGCTTGTCAGGTTTCTGCTAGA